TGAATGAATTTTGATTTTTTAATACCTACCAAACACTTGTGCTGTCTCCATGACGCTTGCACCACCCTTCAGCATCTCGATTACCTCCACTTTTTTTTTTTTAAGTAGGTGTAGTTTCACTCTTACTTGGTAGTAGGTTGGTGGACAGCAACCACCCAGAAAGGTACTACCATACTGCCAAGTGAGTGTAAAATGGAAGCCTGTATTTGTTTTACATGATAGTAGGATTGCTGGTGTCCTTTTTTTCTCTCATAAACTTGCAAGATTTCAGGTACGTCTTGCTATTTCTATTGGGATTACGAGTGACGTGAGTAAGTTTGCTGATCATACAAAGATAGGCTGTATAATTCACTCTGAGGAGGATATCAATGAACTCCAGGACGATTTAGACAAATTAATGTCTTGGTCTGAAAATTGGCAGATGAAGTTCAATGTGGATAAGTGTAAGGTACTTGCCCTTGGTAATGAAAATAACCCCCGAAGCTATAATCTAAGTGAAGTAGAGCTTGATCATACAGAATGTGAAAAAGACTTGGGAGTCATGGTGAGCAGAAATCTAAAGCCAAGACAGCAGTGCCTTAGTGTGCGCAACAAGGCCAACAGATTACTTGGATTTATCTCAAGAAGTATAAGTAACAGAAGTCCAAAAGTTATTTTGCAGCTTTATACATCACTAGTGAGACCTCATTTAGACTATGCTGCTCAGTTTTGGTCCCCTTACTCCAGGATGGATATAGACTCATTAGAGAACATACAGAGAAGAATGACTAAAATGATTTACTGTGTAAGGAACCTCCCGTATGAAGATAGACTTAAAGCCTTAAATCTCCACTCTCTGGAGAGGCGTAGAACGAGGGAAGATATCATTGAGGTATATAAGTGGATGATGGGCATAAACAAGGGAGATATTAATAAAGTACTGAGGGTGTCAAACCAGGTAAGAACCAGAAATAATGGATTTAAGTTGGATAAATTTAGATTTAGAAAGGACATAGGTAAGTACTGGTTTTCTAACAGAGTTGTAGATGCATGGAACAGTCTTCCCAGTGGGATGATAGAGGCTAGGACCTTGGGTAGCTTTAATAAGAGATTGGACAAGTATGTGAGTGGGAGGGGCTGGGTTTGATTGGTGTCATTGGGTACGGGAGTTATTTCTTGGGTAGCTTTAGGTAGAGGTTGTTTTGATAAGGACCTGCCTCGCATGGGCCAGTAGGCCTTCTGCAGTGTTCCTACATTCTTATGTTCTTATTCTTAGGTCACACTCCACATACATGTACAAGCATATATATATACGTATATATATATACACACACACACACACACCCCTCTGGGTTTTCTTCTGTTTGTTTACTAGTTCTTGTTCTTGTTTATTTCCTCTTACCTTCATGGGAAAGTGGAATAGAATTCTTCCTCTGTAAGCCATGTGTGTTGTAAGAGACTAAAATGCCAGTAGCAAGGGGCTAGTAACCCCTTCTTCTGTATACATTACAGCCTCTCCTTACTTAGCGACATACTCATTTACCGACACCTCAGACTTACAATGGGTTCTCTGACCAGTATTTATACCTAAATAATGTATATTAGAGCTGATTTTCTCTATTCTGTTTATTTCAATATACAGTACACTACTGTATAAACATTTAAAAATATACCAGAAATATTACAAATGGTGCAAAGGTGACATTAAAACAATATCAAAGATGATTGACACAAGCTCACTACAGGTCTCCCTCAACATTCGAGAGGGTTAAGGGATCAAGAACCTCATGAATGTTGAAAAATCACGAATGTTTGGTGCCCCAGTATATTGTAGGGAAATATAATACAACACTGCCTCCTTAATCTATTGAACCATGAACAACCATAAAACACACGAAAACGTCTTAAAATAGTTTACTAGTGCCAACCCTTTGGTAAAAAAGATGAGAAAAATTATAGAATTCAAGAAAGAACACACAGCAGAGTACCAAAGTGGTGGAGGAAGAGAGAGGGGAGAATGTGCCTTCTTCAGTGATGCAGTGATTCTGCGATATGTATGATACTAAAGCAGCATAAATCAATAAAGGCTATAGCGCCAGTAGTGATAAAGTGTAGCATTAACAGTGTAGCAAGTAAGTTCAGTGATTAATCGATAGAAAAGGACAGCACGAACCTAACTCCTCCAACGTTGTTGGAGTCATACAGGGCGACTGACAACACCGCCGTCTCTAGTCTCTACTGCCTCTGATGCCGCCTCCACCACCACTATGTATGGCTTATGTCTCACTGGCCCTTATACCCCCAACAACAACAACAACAACAGCAACACTCATGATGTACTAATGACGTATTTTATTCATTCTAGAGTATATGTCACGTTTCTATGTTATTAATATTGTTTATTATGTCATATTAGATGAAGTGTGATAGATAAATAAGCCTTAGAGTTGATATTAGTGTCATATTGAAAAACTATCTTGTCTTGTCTCCAAACAAACTCTGCCACCGCCACAATTCCTAAGATATGTAATGACATATTTTAAATATGATTGGGAGGCTGGGAATTCACGAATGTTCAAATCCCGCAAACGTCGAGGGAGACCTGTGCCATTATAGTATGCCCCGCACTTAGCGACGAATTTGTTTAATGACATGGTCTTAGGAACAGAACTCCATCTTTAAGTGAGGAGAGGCTATACTAAATTTAACCCTTTCAGGGTCCGTCCCGTAGATCTACGGCTTTACGTTCAGGGTCCAAACCGTAGATCTACGCCATGAGCTCAGCTCACTCTGATAAACTGTGAGTGGTACATTTGGGCCTAGATATGAGCGAATACATCTATGTGGTATGTGTGCACCACATAAAACAGATCCTGCAGCACACTGTGTATAATGAGAGAAAAAAACTTAAATCATGATTTTTCGATTAAAACAGCAACTTTGCAGTGTTTTTTCGTATGTTTTTTATAGTTGTATTTGCGATTTCTTGGTCTCATTTGATAGAATGGAAGACATATACAGAAATAGAGATGATTTTGATTGGTTTTAGCACTGGAAATGGCTTGAAACTGAGCTCAAAGTAGTGGAAATGTTAAATTTTTGCCGATATTCAAGAGTAAACAAACGACCTCACACGTCTAATACACGTCAGCTGGTGGGTCTAATATACATCACAAATATGGTGATGATATTTATACAATTATTACAGTATTGCATAACAGTAAATCTTCTATTTTTGGTGTGAATAAAAATTCATTATGTGAATAAAAAATAAAAATGGAATTTATTTGTAAAGCCTCAAAACATAACTAATGAACAGAGGAAACCTTAGTTTAGTGCCAGGAATGCCTACATTGTTTATTCTGGACCCTATTTTGAAATTGGAATATTTTGAACTTTGTGTTAAATTGGCCAAATTAACAATTTCCGATCACTTTATTTTGTAGTTGAAACAGTTGACTTGGCGATTTCTTGTGCTCAATCGATAGAATAGAAGTAATACTAGTGAAATAGCTAAGAATTTGGTTGATTGGAATAATGTAATTGGCCTAAAATGGGAGTCAAAGTCGGCAAAATCGCCGATTCGTAAATGTCGCTGACACATCAAAATTCGCGAGAGCATAATTTCGTCAATTTTCCACCAAATTTCGTACTTTTTGTTTTATTATCTTCACAAAAAGATTCTCTACGATTTCATAAGAAAACATAACAAATTTTTTTTTTTTAAATTCTTGGACACTGGTGCGTGACTCCAGATTTGGGCCTTGGACCCTTAAAGGGTTAAAAGGAGAAGCTTTCATTTTTTTCCTTTTGGGCCACCCTGCCTCAGTGGAGTACAGCCAGTTTGTTGAAAGAAAAAGAAGAGGAATTTCACTCTTGGAAGTGGAACAGAATTCTTCCTCCATGAGCCATGTGTGTCATAAGAGGTGAGAAAATGCCGGGAGCAAAGGGCTAGTAACCCCTTCTCCTGTATATACTATTACTAAATTTAAAAAGAGAAACTGTTGTTTTTCTTTTTGGGCCACGCTGCCTTGGTGGGATATTGCCAATTTGTTAAAAGAAGTTTCACTCTTGATTTTCTTCCTTCCTTTGGATGCCATGATACAGAGACCAGGTGGGAATGAAAAAGATGGAAAAATCTGAGCTATGTGCACTGAGAGAAAATCGTAAGATACACATCCAGATGCACTGACCCGCTTAGGAAGCTGTTGGTTTACATCCCCTCACTCCTTCACACCCTTCCCCCTACAGGGCCTCCTCAAGAGAGGTTCCTTGATGCTGGTGAGGGGCTCTTGATCTAGAGAATTGAATCTGTGCTCCAGTTCCCTGAATTAAGCCTGAATATCTTCCACCCCCTCTCCACACATGCGCTGTATAATCCTACGGGTTTAGCCCTCCCCCATGATTATAATAATCCCCCACAGGGCTACAATAATGTATTTGCCCAGTTCATAGTGGGAGTATCCTGCCTGCCTCCCGCCTGCCCCCCTCCCCCCCCCCGCCTGCACCACTAATGTAATTGAATTTCACTCTACCGTACCTTAATGGAAATGGCAGGTTTCTGTTGGAAATGAAAAACTAAATTTAAATCACAGAATATTGGAAATGCAAGCTGTGAGTGCACAACTTATGGCTGTCTGCTGTATTTCATGTTTTATATATGCAGGAACTGTACATTCTTTGATTCTTTATTGCTGAAGTTACTTTGTTTTTGGAGTTTATATAAAGCATTTGACGTAAATTTTTATCTTTTGTGTTCCTTCCCTGCAGGCTGTAAAACAACATGGATTATCAAAACGCTGGTTACAAAATCTGATTGATAGCCGGGAGAACCAGCTGAACAATAAACAATTTGCTTCTTTAGCAGCTGTAGAGGACTACTGTGAAATGTCCAATTCCTCATTGTACTACCTCATTCTCCAAGGATTGGGTGTGTAAGTGGGCATCCTCCATTAAAGTTTGTTATACTGTTTGACATTGACCAGTCTCGGAATTACAGATTCTACATGCATCCTCAGTAGAGTACGTACAGCTAGCCCTCCACTTTCGCAAGTTCCACTTTCGCAAGCTTTGAACATTCGCGAATGCCCACCTGCATTCGTATATACAATATTTTACTATGTTTTCATGCGTTTTATGATTGTTCGTGGTTCAATAGGTTAACCCTTTGACTGTCGCGGCTGTATATATACGTCTTACGAGGTACCGTGTTCGACGTATGTAAACTCATAAATTCTAGCGGCTTCAAATCAAGGAGAAAGGTGGTAGGCCCACATGTGAGAGAATGGGTCTGTGTGGTCAGTGTGCACCACATAAAAAAAATCCTGGAGCATGCAGTGCATAATGAGAAAAAAAAAACTGACCGTTTTTTTTTTTTTAATTAAAGACCGTTTTTTTTTTTTAATTAAAGTGCTGACTTTGTGGTCTATTTTCGTATAGTATTTATGGTTGTATTCTCATTTTCCTGGTCTCATTTGATAGAATGGAAAATATATTATAGAAATAGAGGTAATTTTGATTGATTTTACTTTAAAAAGAACCTGGAAATGGAGCTCAAAGTAGGGGAAATGTTTGATTTTTGCCGATGTTCAGAAGTAAACAAATGATGTCATTGTCCAATAAATGTCCAACTAGCCATTCTAATATGCAGTCATGAATGGGTTGATGTTATTTATTCAATTATTACAGTACATGTATTGGAGTAGTCTGCATAATAGTAAATCTTCTATTTTTTGTTTGAATAAAAATTCAAAATAGAAAGCAAGAGTAATATCAGAGGGGCCTGGAGACATGACTGATGAACAAAGAAAATGTTGTTTTAGAGCCAGGAATGTCTGCATTGTTCATTCTGGAGATTATTTTGAAATTGTCATATTTTTTAATTTTCGTGAAATTGGCTAAATTGCAAATTTCTGACCACATTATTGGGTAGTTGAAATTGGTAAATGGGCAGTTTCTTGTACTCAATTGATAGAAAAAATGGAGTTCTACAGAAATAGCTATGAATTTGGTCGACTGAAACAATGGAATTAGCCGAAAATAGGGCTCAAAGTGGGCGAATTCGCCGATTTGTAAATATCACCGAGGTCGTTAACTTCGCGAGAGTGTAATTCCGTCAGTTTTCCATCAAATTTCTTTTTTTTTTTTGCATCATTACAATCGGAAAAAGATTCTCTATCGTTTCATAAGAAAAAATAATTTTTTTTTTTTTTTAAATTTTGCGACACCAGGAGACACCTCAGGATTGGGGGTTGCGACAGTCAAGGGGTTAAGGAAGCATTATTGTTAGGCTAAGTAAATGCTATTACATTATATTTCCCTACAATATATTTGCACATCAAAACATTCCCAAACATTACAGTACAGTATTATTTTACAGTGGTACCCTGAGTTTCGGCCATAATTCATTCCGGAAGACTGTTCGACTGCCGTCACTGAACGAATTTGTTCCCATATGGAATGTAAATTAGATTAATTTGTTTCAAACCCCTAAAAATACACTTACAATAGCTCTTACATTAATACACTTAGATAATTGTTCGAGTTCGGAGCTGTACAAAACTTGGGGTACCACTGTATTTCCCTATATCATATTTGTGCACCAAACATTCACGATCCCCTTCCATAAGGGGATTATGAATGTTTGGTCCCTAACCCTCAAGAATGTGGAGGGCCTACTGTACTGTATATTTATTGTCTTTACAGAGAAAGTTGTATTTACTATATACAGACTCAAATATTATAACATGTACTATATTGTTCATTCATTCCTAATACAGTATACTGTTCTTACACTCCTAATACAGTATATTGTTCTTACATTTCTAACACAGTACAGCCTCTCCGCACTTAGTGACATACTCATTTACCAACGACTTGGACTTACGACGGGCTCTCTGACCAACATGCATACCTAAATGATGTATACAGTGGAAACTCAAATATCGAACTTAATCCGTTCCAGGAGTTAGTTCTAAATTCGAAAAGTCTGAAAAGTGAAGCAATATTTCCCCTAAGAAATAATGGAAATACAATTAATCCATTCCAGAAACCCAAAAATATTCACAAAAAAATACATTTTATAGAGATTAATTATAGTTTTACATACACACAACAAATATAGTGTTCAATTATGTATTAGTAAATTTAAATAAACATACAAAATAACTTTTTACTTACCTTTATTGAAGATTGGTGATGGCATCTGGAAGATAGGGAGGAGGAGAGAGGGAGTTAGGGTTAGTGTTTGGAAGGAGAATCCCCCTCCATGAGGACTTCAGGTAACACAGCCCTCTCTGGGGTTACTTCCTTTCTCTGTCTTTGAATGCCACTAAGACCAGCTTGAGAGTCACTGGGCCCCTGTCTCACAAAATAACTGTCCACAGTCCTCTGTTTCTGGTGTCTCTATGATTTCCCTAAAATGGGACATAGTTTTGTCACTGAACTTGTTGCAAAGATGGCTTGTTTCAGCTTGCTCAGGGTGGTACTTTTCCACAAACATTTGGACATCATTCCACTTCTGTATTATTTCCTTCTTCACATCTATGGTGTTTCTCACTTTCTAGATCACAGGGGTACCACTAACAAGTTTATTTGGGCCCATTGTAGCCTATTTCACAGTTCTACAAGCACTAAACACAATGAAATAATCGTAAAATGTTTGAATGGGAGCGCAAGTTAGTGTTCACTCAAGCATCAACAAAATCAGACTGGCTTACGGCGCCTACATGGGGACGCAGACAGAGCGGGCTGCCGGACAGATCCGGTACCCGGCGGTTCGAATATAGGGGCGAGTTCGATAATAGGGGCAAAGTGGGTTCAAGAAAAGGGTTCTATTTTCGAAGAGTTCGATAAGCGATACGTTCAAAATTTGAGGTTCCACTGTATTAGAGCTGATTTCTTCTATTCTGTTTATCACAGTATACAGTACACTGCTGTATAAACATTTAAAAATATACCAAAAATGTTATGAATGGTGCAAAGGTGACAGTAAAACAGTATCAAAGATGGTTGACACAAACCCATTACCATTGTAGTATGCTCCTCACTTCGCGACAAATTTGATAATGGACATGGTCTTTGTAACAGAACTTCGTCATTAACTGAGGAGAGGCTGTATATTGCTCTTACATTCCTAATACAGTATACTGTTCTTACATTCCTAATACAGTGGAACCTCAAATTTCGAACGTATCGCTTATCGAACTCTTCGAAAATCGACCGCTTTTTTTGAACCAATTTTGTCCCTATTATCGAACTCACCCCTATTTTCGAACCGCCAGCTACCGGACCTCTTCACTAGCCCGCTCTGTCCCCGTCCCCGTACAGGCGCCTTGAGCCAGTCTGGCTTTGTTGATGCTTGAGTGAACACTAACCTGTGGTCTCGTTCACACATTTTACGAATAATTCATTGTGTTTAGTGCTTGTGGGACTGTGAAATAAGCTACCATGGGCCCAAAGAAACTTGCTAGTGGTACCCCTGTGGTAAAGAAAGTGAGAAACACCATAGATGTGAAGAAGGAAATAATACAGAAGTATGAGAGTGGTGTGAGACTTGTTGAGCTTGCCAGGATGTATGTGGACAGTTATTTTGTGAGACAGGGGTCTAGTGACTCTCAAGCTGGTCCTAGTGTCATTAAAAGACAGAGAAGGGAAGTAACTCCAGAGAGGGCTTTGATACCTAAAGTCCTTATGGAGGGGGATTCCCCTTCCAAACACTAACCCCAATTCCCTCTCTTCTCCTCCCTATCTTCCAGATGCCATCACCAATCTTCAATAAAGGTAAGTAAAAATATTATTTTATATGTTTATTTAAATTTATTAATAATTGTACACTATATTTGTTGTGTACAGTGGACCCTCGACCAACGCTGGCATCGTCTAACATTAAATCCAACTAGCGATACATTTTAACGCAAAAATTTTGCCTCGACTAGCGCTAAAAAACTCGACCAGCGAGATTCGTTCCGTCCGAGACACGTCCACTTGTGGCCAGTGTTTACAAGCTAGCCAGCCACCGCGGTCCCATCCAAACATACAATCGGAACATTTCATATTATCACAGCATTTTTAGTGATTGCACCTGCAAAATAAGTCGCCATGGACCCCAAGAAAGCTTCTAGTGCCAACCCTACAGCAAAAAGGGTGAGAATTACTATGGATATGAAGAAAGAGATCATTGCTATGTATGAAAGTGGAGTGTGTGTGTCGGAGCTGGCCAGGTTGTACACAAAACCCCAATCAACCATCACTACTATTGTGGCCAAGAAAACGGCAATCAAGGAAGCTGTTTTTGCCAAAGGTGCAACTATGTTTTCGAAACTGAGATCACAAGTGATAGAAGATGTTGAGAGACTGTTATTGGTGTGGATAAATGAAAAACAGATAGCAATCATATGTGAAAAGGCTAGGAAGTTGCATGTCGATTTAATTAGAAAAATGCCTGCAACTAGTGGTGATGTGAGTGAATTTAAGGCCAGCAAAGGTGTCATAAGGCATGGTGAGGCTGCCAGTTCGGACCAAAAAGCAGCTGAAAAATATGTGCAAGAGTTCAAGGAGTACATAGAGGCTGAAGGATTGAAACCTGAGCAAGTGTTTAATTGTGACGACACAGGCCTGTTTTGGAAGAAAATGCCAAGCAGGACCTACATTACTCAGGAAGAAAAGGCACTCCTAGGACATTAGCCTATGAAAGACAGGCTTACTCTGTTGATGTGTGCTAATGCTAGTGGTGATTGCAAAGCAAAGCCTTTATTGGTGTATCACTCTGAAACTCCCAGAGTGTTCAGGAAAAACAATGTCCTCAAGGACTTGACACCTCAAGTCCTAATGGAAGGGGATTCCCCTTCTAAACACTAACACCATCCACACTCTCACCTCTTCCCATCCCATCAATCATCACCAGATCTTCATTAAAGGTAAGTGTCAATT